GTGAGTTGTACAGTTTGTTTCCGCACGTCGCGGCGGTGGCCGCGATCCGAATTCACCACAAGTTTCTGTTTCCGAAAGGGCTGATAAAGACAGGTTCTGCCCGAGTGGCGGTGGTTGGAAGTGTAGGGAGTTTGGGGCAAAGAGCGACCTTGTCCTTGGGAAGGGCGGAGTGGTGTCCAGGTGGGGCCGGCATCTGCAGAAGGGGGAGCGCTCTGGGCGTCGTTAGAAACGGGGGTGGGAATCGTTCTCACATGCATGGTGTTCATGATGCGCTTTGGATGGGGCACAGGTGCTTGATTACTAAATTGTCAGGGGATGAGAAGAGCGCAGATATTATTTTTCCTCCTGGGAGACAGGCATATACAGGAATTAAACATCCTGGGACAAAATGGGACAAGTACAATGCTTGCAACTACTTGAAACCAAACAAGTCTTCCTGAAAGATCTCCATTACTTTTGGGGCTCTTCAGGGCCATTTTCTGGTTTGTATGCAGGCACGTGCTTTTCCTCCTCAAGCTATTAAGATGCATTTGGAATTTTAACTTTAGCTGCATGACAAGTCCTGTCTTAAAAGCTTAATTAATTAACTTTTTACGATATAATGTCCCTGACAGCTCTCTTGCCAAGACCAAATGAGTTTAGTCAGCTCTTCAGAAGGTGTTTGTGTTATTTCGCTGCTGTAATCCAAGGCTGTGCAGTAAAGGCAAACCCAAGCTAATGCTCTCGTAGCTGGTTAGAGCGACTGTGCTGCTCTAATCGTGGCATCTTGGATGTTTGTGCTAACTAATAGTAAATTAATTACCCAATTTTCTGCACAAATCCTGCAGCCTCCACTGAGCTGTGGAGTGCCATGACTAGATGGCTACTGCTCCTACAGCTGGGAAAGGCATGGAAACTTATGCTCGTACTACAGAGCAAGAGAAGTCCCTGTGCTAGTATCACTAGGGAAGCAGAACTCCCTGACAGTTTTTGTGTTTTATTTTGGTTTTTTTTTTTCCCCACACTGCATTGCTTTGGGATTCTATATGTTACAAAGAAATATGGTATCTTCTCTGGCAAGGCTACCTGCCAGGTACAGCTGTTGAGAGAAGAATTGCAGGGCTGGGGGTTTTGTGTCTCTTACCACTAAGGGGTGTGTGGGGGGGAAGGATCTGCAGTGCGTATCTGCAGGCTGCTGACATCATCTGTGATGTTGGTTTAAATATAGTAGAATTCCAAATCGTGGAAGTTTTTTTGGGTTGGTGGCTTGACAGTGAGATCTGATACTTTTCCTTTCACCACAGCTTCTCCCTAAATTTCAGCTTAAATTTATAAGCTTGTTTGTGTTGCAATGTGTCTTTCAAGCACACTTTACTCATATCTTGTGTTAGTTTCGGAATGTTTTTGTGAAATCCTACCTTCCTTATTTATAGGAAACAAAACACCTTTATTTGGAGACTGGCAGACAAAACTACAAACAGCATGTGGTTAATAGAAGGGAATGTGTACTGTGATCTGTGGCTGCTGGGGAAAGCTGTTAAGTCCTTAAGATTTAATTGCTAGAAGTAATATTCCCCAAGGAGACCAAAATCGGTGTTTCTCTCTTGGCTTCCACAGAGGAAGTGGATTGCGAGAGAGACTGAAATTCTGGGGTTTTTGATTGTCCAATCTATCTTTCAGGTGATCTTTCAAAAATAAGGTGCTGATAAAGTTCTTCCCTGTGGAAGGCCCAGATATGTACTTCTGAAGCTTTTTTCTTTTTTTGGTAGTGGGAAGAGACACAAAAAATCCTCACCTTTTAATTCTTTTTCCAACAGCTGTGTCGGCAGTGATGGCGTTGTGTAGAAGGACTCCTAAACCAACCGAGTAACTCGTGACACGGTGAAAGGGATAGAAGGGGGGGTAATGGTATAATAGAAGCTCTTTCTTCATCTACAAAGCTATACTGGATATGTAAAATATACCAGTAAAGCATTGGGGTTTGCTTTGTTAGAAAGGACTCTTCATAACAATTAAATAAAATGACTGCCATACAGATCTGTGTGGAGAAAACTGAGTATTGTCATGCTCTAATAAGCTTCCCGTTATAAACAGCCTCGTCTAGCGAGTATCATTGTGGCTGCCAGCGACTATGAGTAGGCCGAAGCTATGAGAATACCGCTTAAAGAATCACCGTATCACTTCAGTGCCTATGTATTTAGTAATTAGCAGCCTTCCTGGTAACTTGCTACATGGTGAACTGCAGTGGTTATGTGGTTATGGTTAAGTGGATGCTGCCTTGCCAAGCTATTTGGTTAAACTGGCCAATTTATTGTCTTTCAGTCACCTTGCTACATCCCTGCCCCTGCCTTCAGAGAGGGATCACCTTCGGCCCAGGATAGATCTGATTGTGTTTATGATTGACATCAAGAGCAAATACAGGTAAAAGAAGGGCAAAAATATGAGAGGGGGAACTGATATATTCTTTCTTGGATTGATAGCTAAATCTACGTTTATTTTTTTTTTTACTGTGTCAGAAAACCCAAGACTTGCTGTGGTGGAACAGCTCAGTCATATATAGAGTGGTTTTTTGGCCTCCAGCAATGGATGAG